CGGCCTTCTGTCCCTCTATGCGGATCAATGGGACATGATTATGTCAGACGCTTGGGTCAGGTCCACAGTTCATCTAGGTCTCAGGTTAGAGTTTCTCTCCACCCTTCCGAATATCTCTTCAGTTCGTTCCCTCTGCCTCGGAGTCTGGAGCGCCGCTACCTGATGGATCAAGCTATAAAACACCTTGTCGACATTCAGACTGTGGAGATGGTTCCTTGTTTGGAACGTGGGCAGGGCCACTACTCCAACCTGTTTGTAGTCCCGACTCCAACCTGTTTGTAGTTCCGAAGAGCTTGGGTGGCTAGAGGGTGATTCTGGACCTCAAGGGCCTGAATCGCTACCTGGTTTACAGACGCTTCAAAATGTCCTCCCTCAAGTCTATTCTTCAGGGCATCTGGAGGGGGGACGTCTTGGCATCAGTAGACCTGACAGAGGCCTACCTCCATATTCCAATTCTCCCAGCTCATCGCAGGTTTCTGAGGTTCTCTCGCGGGGACCTCCATTACCAGTACAAGGCTCTCCCGTTCAGGTTACCTTCCGCTCTTCACGCATTCACGAAGGTGCTGGCGGCCCTGGCAGCTCATCTCCGCTCCGTTCCAGTGAGGCTTCAATGTTACCTGGACGATGTCCTTGTTCAGGCGAGGTCCCTTCCTCACTAACTGGATCTGAACAGAGAGCTATTTCAACCAAGAATGGTGCTGGGAGGTTTGAGCAGGATAATGAAGTTCTGAGTTCTTTTGGAGTTCAGGATCTGCTGACTGTGTATCATTCACAGAGTTTGGATTGTTTAAACATCCCATATTTGACCTTGTCTAAAAATAAAGACATGGAAGAGCAAAAGGAAAACAAGTCCTATCAATGGAAGAGGATATTTAAGAATTCAAATGGAGGTGGGTGAACTCGTACCTGCTCTGTGTTAAAATAAAAATGAAGCTACCGCTGTGCCCAAATCTGCCCCTCTGTTTCTGAAAAGGTCTCCTCTCCTGCCGAAGAGGCCTTTGTCTGTTAACATTGCTGGCAGAGTTGAAAGAAGAATCTTCCTTTTCATCAGAAGAATCTTCACAAAAGTCTCCCTGCTTGAAAGTATTCAAAGTGGCACTTTGTCTCCAATAAGCATTCCTAAATATACACCGTGCCTGTCTTAATCTGATAAGAACTGCATTGCACTGTTTTAATTTTATGCTATGCAGCAGTATATATATATTTTAATAAGTAAATATCCTTTTCTGCAGGAGGTTTACATTCATCAGAGAGATGAAGCAGTTGCTGCCAGTTGCCAACATCTGAGTTTGTAATTTCTTCGTCCTCTGAAAAGGAAGCTTCTGGGTTTTTTTCTTATTCCACAGAAACTTGAGAATTTATTTCAATTCTTCTCCCTCCCTCTTCCCTCCCCTTCCCTCTCCCTCTCCCCCTCCCCTTCCTCTCCCTCTCTAATCCTGCTGGAGGTCATGGGTGTCTGCAGGGTATGGTCAAAAATGCCAAGATGTTCTCCACAAGGCTGGGATGGGAGCTGTGCCTGCCTATATGTCACATGTGGAATGAAAAGCATAGGCTGGGCTTCAATTAGAACATAGAGCACTTAATCCATGGGTGGGAAGCGACCTCAGAGTCCTGATCAAAGCAGAAGACCTTATACTATCCTGGTCAAATGTTTGTGCAGTCTGTTCTTGAAAACATCCAGTGTTGGAGCACACACAACTCCAGGAGGCAAACAGGAGGTAAATAGTTCTCAGTTTCAGAAAATTTCTCCTGACTTTGAGGTTGGCAGCTGCACCACACTGCTGGCTCATATTTAAGTGGTTTCCCACTAGGATACCTAGAGCCCTCTGACAGTTGCTATTATTGAGCCAGGTACCACCTCTTCTATACCTGCATCTGTTTTTTTTTCCTGTCCAAGTGCAAGACCATATTTTTCTCACCATTGAATCACATCTCTCCCCTCATCTAGATCATTTATGAAGATGCTGAAGAGCACTTGGTCCAAGTCAGAACTTTGAGGAACCCCATTCCCCCCACCCCCATGTGGCTGTAGTTTTACTGAAGACTATATGCTGAGTGCAGTTGGTCATCCAATTGCGAATCCATCTGATGGTGATGCTGTCTATCCCACATTGTTCTATCTTACCAAAAGTAGATAGTCATCTTTGTTAAATGCCTTACTGCAGCGGTCCCCAACCTTTTTGGTTTTGTGGATCAGTGATGGTGGGGAGGGGGGATGGTTTTGTGTGTGCAGCGGGTAAGCACGCAAGCATGCATGCCTGCCGCTCGCACAAGTGGAGCAGTGTATGCTTGCATGGCCCTGTTCCAAATGGGCCACAGTCTGATACCAGGACGCAGCTTGGGGTTTGGAGACCTGTGCCTTATTGAAGTCCAAGTATACTATGTCCACAGCATTTCCCTGATCCACTAATTGTTGGATAAATTGCATGCTAGTGGTCACTAAATAGCATGCATCTTAACCTTTCATCCCATAAATACCTCTGAAACTGAGAAATTATTATATTCCCAAGTCAGATGGCTGGAAAAAGAATTCACGCATGCATCCCATAATCACAACTAAGTGCCAGAATTCCAAGGGAGAACTTTTCTTTACTTCTTTGAAATAAATTCAAATTCTTCCGCCATAAGACCTCCATCCATACTTCTGCCCCAAGACATGCATTCTTCCTGCACTCCAGGAGCCATCTAAACTTATCCTCTTACTGTCTTACCCTCTCAACATAACATTACCATTATCCTCTTTCTGTCCTAATTTCTTAATATAACATTGATTAATTATTAGTTAATTGTCTAATTTAGTTTTATAATTATAAGTGATTATTAGTTATTATTGATTAGTTTTATTAGCTGATTTATTGTTTATCTGATTGATTAATTGATATGATTAGTGTAATTGGTTGAATAACATAATTGATCATTGTGATTGTGGTTAGAGTAATTGTGTCAACTCATAAAGTCTGTTATTGAGTTGCTATGGAGAGGAAAGGGGGAGCACATTCCATGCATACTTTTGGCTAGAGTTGGATCTCAGCTTACTACAGCAGATTTGTGAGGCGTGGAATTTTACAGCCTGCTGCTACACCTCGTTGGAGAATGTGATTTATGACACAGACTATGGGGAGGGGAGAAATGGGCAAAATTCAGCCATAACTTAAGTGCGGTCCGATCTGACTGCAATGAGATATTGCCAAAATGGTGTTAGTGATAAATGACTGGATTTCTTTTGAAACTTGGCTCAATGCTCATGAATTAATTAGGGCATCTTTCAGAAACTTGACAGAAAGTCAGATCTCCTTCTAAAATCTATCAAGATTACCAGGTCTCTTGAATTCTGGACTCTCCAATCACTCCCTGATATCTGGGGTGTCTGGAGCTAAACTCAGGCAACCATGGCAGAGGGCGAGCTATTTGAAGAGATCCTGATTACAGCCGGAGTGCAACCTAACCTCAGACATCAAAGCTCATGTGCCTGCTCCAGTGATCAAAGCAAGAAGAGATGAGTATTTGTGGAAATTACCACTAAAGCAGCTGATGTTGAGCTCCCCCACCCCAATGCCCAGAAAAAGGGAAGGGCCCTGAGCAAACTGGGAAGAATGGAGTGGATGCTGGACTAGAACCAAGCCAGGCTCCCAAAGCCCTTGATGGAGCCTCTGGAGAGTTCCATAGAGCAACAGAGGGAGGAATTTGACTGGGCCACCCTCTGTGAAGAGGAGCCATTATGCAGCCAAAAAGAGAGGGGAGACGCAGTGGATCCTTTTGAGGTGAGGAGAAGCAGACGGGAATACAGCCCCCCTTCTCCACCCATCAGAAGGAAGCTGCAATCAGTGCTTCTCCCACACAGCAGGCAGGCTGCCCAGGGTAAACAACCCCCTCCCACCCTCCGAACTAGAGCTGAGGAAGATGGCCAGACATATCAAGCGCAAGCGTACAGAGACAGACAGGAGGAGGGAGGAGCAGTGCTGAATGAACCACCCCGGTTCAGGGGAAAGTTTGATGGGGATTCAGACCAGTTAGCCCCATTTCTTCACTCAGCTGAGATCCACCTAGAATCTATGGATATCTCCACTCATCCTGCAGAGTCATTGTGAATACTATCGCAGAGGGGCTAGAGGGAGAAGCAAAGGAATGACTAGCAGCCCTAAACAAGAGGAGAGGCCCCCAACTGCAAGGCGTAGATGACTTCCTATGATTGCGACAACCAGTCACCAGAATCCTATGACAGTGATGACGAGGACAAAAACAAGTTCACCCTTTTGTTTTCCCAATATGCCTCACAGCCTCAAAAATGGGAAGCCAGGGGACTTTTNGGCTCTGGCAGCAGCAGCTTTTGCCTTTTTCTTTTTATATTTTTTACATTTTCATCATGGCAGACAAGAGGAGAGTTGAAATCCTCTGTTACACAGCTGGAAAAGGTATGTGGGTTCTGGGTCGGAGGGAGGAATTCAAAATTATTGTAATTTGTAAGTAATTGTAATTTCTAATTTGTATTATTATAGGTAGTGTGTGTGTGTGTGTGTGTGTTTTACCCACCTCGCCATAGACTGGGACACGCCGGCTTCCGGCCATAAAGCGGTTCCCCCTGTACGGCCGGCAGGGCGGCATGCACCTTAAAGTGCCAGTGCGCCTTCTGGCCATAAAGCGGGATGTGTCGGGGCTTCAGGGGCGGCTGCTGCTGGCAGGCATAGGGCGGCTTTTGCCCGCTTGCCTCACCGGCCGTGAACCTCACCGCACATCACTGATTGGTAGTATACTCAAGTCATGTAGCATCACATTTCTGATTGAACTAACCTCGCTGTGTTTTTAATCCTAGGGCTGGCAAAATAGGGAGCTACAAATTTAAAAGAAACATCTGCTTCCATTATAGAAAAATGATAAGATTGTGAGGGTCAACATATGTTTGCTTTTTTTAAAAAAAAATGAATTTCATAGGGCTTTCCCAGAAATCTTTTATCTCTGTTGTAAGTCAGCATATTGGGATTCAGCTTGTTTTCATGAATTACCTTTCAGAGCTGAAATTGGAGGCTGTAACAATAACATCATCTTTACTTTGGACCAGCACAGGGATCTTCCTGCATCCTGGGGACTTCAAAAGTCGTTGCAGGAGCTTCAGAGTTTCTTGATGAACAAAATGAAAATCATTAGGCTTGTTTGTGGCACTTAATTTTGATAGGGCTAGTTGAGAGCAAGAGAGAGAGAGAGAGGTGGAACAGGATCATCTTCCATCTGTCAAAGCAAGATCCCTTACAATTTTGCCAGTTGAATCATTTGTATTCTTCTTGTTCTCCAGCTGTCAACATTGCAAATAGCACAACGGCTCATATTCAGAGCTAATCAGGTACTACAGGTAAACTCAAAAAATTAGAATATCGTGCAAAAGTTCATTTATTTCAGTAATGCAACTTAAAAGGTGAAACTAATATATGATAGACTCATTACATGCA